AAAAAAAAAAAAAGAATGTCCTCAACAAAACTGCTGTGAGGATTAAACAAAGGATGAAAAGGTCTAGCATTGTGCCTGGGAAATGCTGACTCCCCAACTCCATTAATTCTTTTCATCTGCTGCTAATAAATGCAAAGTGGTGCTTTTTCCTACTCAACTCTTCCAGTCTCTTTCCCAGAACTTTTAAGATATTCACTTTTTAAATCAAGAGTACTTTCCTCAGCTTCCATCTTGTTCTGTTGTTCCAGCACTCACACATGCTGGTTCGCCTCTCTGCAATGGGGCTGGTAGTTCTGTCAGGATAGAAACTTGAGTCACCCGTGACTCTTCACCTTCCCACAGCCCGTACTCCATTCATTTTGGAGGCTGATCTAATCTCTAAGTCTCTTAAGTCCCTTCTTCACCCCCTTTTACAGACACCACCCAGATCCAGCTTCCATCACACATTACTACCTGCACTACAGACACAGCTTCTGTCTCCTCCCCACCCCTCCTCCCAGCCCAGTCCATTCTCCATCAAACAGCTATGGCCATATTTTTAATACAGAGATATTTAATATAGTGCCACTCTTCACTCATCTGAGAAAAGCTTCTTCTTATCCTGGGGATAAAACTGTACTTTGTCGGCAAGGCTGCAGCCTACCTCTGCCCACCCTATCTTCCACACTTTCAGCTCTCCATTCTATTCCTGCCCCCAAATGCCTGCAGCAAGCTCCTTCCTTCCTAATTAATGGCTACTCATCTTTCAGAGCTCTACATACATTACACTATCTGAAAGATGGCTTCCCTGACCTCCATCCTTTCATTCAAACTAGATTACATTAGGTTTGTGGCTCACCTCCATTCAGTAACTCTCTCAGCACCCTGGTTTCCCCCTCTGAATATCAATTATCACTATTTTGTAATTGTGTACTCATTTGTGAGTGCATTTATTTATTCCATCTGCACTATCACCACTTTTATCCCCACCATAGATGCAACCTATGCCCTTCTAGTTAGGCCTACATGTGCCGCACAGAGCACAGGGCTGGTATCTCAGTCAGCATCCACAGGATGGTAAATACATAGAAGGGAAAGGACTTCTGGTCCCACCAGTGCCCAGTGCTATACTTAGCACCTGAGACTTGCCTCATAAATGTTAGAATATTTTCAGTTATATTTTGCTTGCCTATTGTGTTTAGACGATCACTTTGCTAATAGGTGCAAGATGTTTTGAATGGCCTTGGAAGGTTGGGCACAATGAGTCAGGTATCCAATACACACTGATATCTCCCTATAAGAGGTACCACCGAAAGATGGCTCTGATAATCAAGGGTACCGAGGATGAAGGAAAAAAGAAGAAAAGTAGTTTCATGCCAGAAGGAGTATAAAAGATCAGCCATGTGACAAAGACAAAATATTGGTGTTCTTCAATAGGTACCTGTGGGTGATCTTCATGGTACAAGCGAGGCAGCAGCTTCACCATGACGCACACCATCCCAGGGTGCATGATGACAGAATCACCTTCATCCATCCTGCAGAGAGGGGAAAGCAGGACATCAGATAAGAATGCACATAATCTCTTCTCCATTTTACAGAATATTGGGGATCTTTCTTTCTGAGCCAGACCACGACCCACATTCTCAATTTACCACTTAATTTCCTAAATGACCTTGAATGATCCATCTGAGCTAAATTCTTCCTAATAATATGATGCCCTTATACACTAAGCCACAGTGCCTGGCACAGGGTTCCATGCTCAATGGAAATTGATTCCTGGCCTTCTTCATTTCTCTCCAAGTATGTGAGAAATTGAGAAGCTCTCACTTTATATTAAACACACACACACACTCACACACATACACACAAGCAAACATGCACATACACAATGGGCTCCTGGATTCCTTCATAATGGTGCAAGCACAGTTTGATGTGCCCTCTCCCTGAAAGCAATTAAAATCCTGATAGAACTCATGAGCTATGTCTGTGAGTACACTGAAAAATAAATGGAGAATGAAGTAAAGGGTGATGAAGAAAGCATGACCTCCCAGTTGTACATTCACCTCTATACTCAAGTTTTGGAAGCTCACCATTACTAGAGATAAACCACCTCTCAAGGCTGGCTATTGCACAAGGCAACTGAGGAGTACAAATCACCTTGCAAAGTCCTTGAAAACTGATCTGACACTGGAACTGTGATCCACAGAAGGTGGGTAGAAATCAACCTAATAGGTTTATTGCCTCTAAAACAAAATAATCAACATTCATCATAAAATGCCAGTAATAGCTGGAGTTTGTAACATTCAAAATAATCAGGATGCAACTTGAAATTGGTCAACATAAAATGAACTAGGGAAATCTCAGTATCTCTTATGAAAATAGGCAATCAACGGATGTCAATGTTGAGATGACACAGGCATTGAAATTTTCAGACAAAACCTTTAAAACAGTTATTATTAACCAAAGTCCAAGAAGTAGCAATTAACCCTTTTGAAACAAATGAAAACACAGAAAGCCAACAAAGAAACAAATAATAAAAAGGAATAAAACATAAATTTAAAAATTGAAGAATACAGTGACTGAAGTTTTATAAAACTAACTGAAATGACAGTAGAGAATAAAATGAGAAAGGAAATTCCATGAACTTGAAGATAGATGAATCCACATTTTCAAACTGTACTACAAAGAAGAAGAGTTTTTTAAAACATGAAGGGTTTCAAGGTAATGAGTCACACTACCAAACTATCCAACTTTCCTGTCATTGAATTCTCAAAGGACAGAAGAAAGAGTTTGATGTAAAAGAAAAAAAAAGTTTGAGAAGTTTTTACCCATTCTTTCTTCACATGTGGTAAAACACAAAACCTTAAAGATTCAAGAAACTTAGTAAAAACCAAGAAAAATAAACAAAGAAATTCATGTTCAGGCATATCACCATCAAATTGATGAGCCCTGAAAAGATGAAAAAAAAAATGAAAGCAACCAGAGAAAAACACACAGGGAAACACATACAGGGGAACAACAACTTGAATGATGGTATATTTTTCTCATGAGAAAACGCAAGGCAGGGAAACAACGTTTTTTAAATGTTGCAAAAAAACACACAGAACTAATTCTATACCCAGCAAAAATACTCTTCAGGAATGAAGGCAAAATAAATACATGCCCAGGTGTAGGAAAACAAAGGGAATTTCTTGCCATCAGACTCATTCTAAAACTATTTTTAAATGTTCTTTAGATGGTAGTATGAAAATAATAACAGATGGAAACTTGGTACTTCAGAAATGAAAAAAAGAGCAATGGCAACAGAAATGGTAAGTATTTGGGTAAGTATAACACACCGCTTTTTTCTTTTCATATTAAATATAAGTATAATGGTTGAAAGAAACATTGTATTCAATGTAATACATTAAATGTAATGCTCATGTTAGATAAGGATAAAAAGAATGGCATAGTGGTAAGCCTTCTATGATCCACCTGAATTAGACTTTCCAAAATGTGTATATTCTAATCCCTATTGCAAACACTAAAAACACTAGACAAAGAAAGATTAGTAAAATAAAAATCAATGTCCATGAATTCAAATGGAAATCCAGAATATATTCAAACTATGCACACACACACACACACACACACAAAAAAAAAAAAAAAAAACTAAGAGAAAAGAAAATCAGAAGAACAAAACAGGCAGGGGAGAGAAAACAAAAATGGTAGGCCCAAAATAAAACACATAAATGATTATATTAAATAATCAATAGATATTGTCATATATGAAAAATAAAGATCAAAGTATAGGCCATTATTAGATATAATGATATAGCCAGTCCTGATGGCGCATGCCTATAATCCCATCTGCAAGAGGCCAAGACAGGAGGATCACCGGTTCAAAGCCAGCCTCAGCAATGGTGAGGCACTAAGCAACTCAATGAGAGCTTTTCTCTAAATAAAACACAAAGTAGGGCTGCAGATGTGGCTCAGTATTTGAGTGTCCTTGAGTTCAATCCCTGGTAACCCTCCAAATACATATATGTATATGTGTATATATGTGTGTGTATATATATATATATATATATATATATATATATTAATGTATATGGATATGTATACGGATATTTATACACACACACACACACATATATATATATATATAATGATATAGGTAGATTAAAAGTAAAAGGATAGAAAATTTGCTACCAGGCTAACACTAATCAAAAAATAAAGGACAAGGGATGTAGCTCAGTTGTAGATCATTTCCCTAGCATATATGAGATCCTGGGTTACATTGCCAGCTCTGCAAAAAATAAATAATTAAATAAATAAAAGCTTGTATAATTCTATTAAGATCAGAGAAAGAAGTTTCAGATTGAGGAAAACTAGCACAAATAAACAACTCATATCACATAATGATTAAAAGATTCATAGCCATTCAAAACGTACAGGTACTTCACAACAGAGTCAAAATTCACAAAGAAAAACTTACATGACTGAAAGCATGATGGCAAAAACCCAATTATAGTTGGATATCTTAACATTCTTCTCAATAATTGATAGAAAAGGCAAAGAGAAAATCAATAAATTTATAGGCCTGAACGATGTTATCAACCAAGTGACGTAATTGATATTTACAGATATGCCACTGAACAATTGCAGAATATACATTTGTTAAACAGGCTATATCCTGTGGCATTAAAAAAATGTCAGACTACTTCAAATAAATAAAATCCACAAAGCATGTTCTCAGACCACACAGAATTGAATTAAAAACAAATAATAGAAAGACATCTTTAAAATTTTCAAGTGCTTCAAATTAAACAACATATTTCCAAATAAAATTTGGGTCAAATAAAAAGTTTCAAGAAAAATTTTAAAATATTTTGAGCTTAAACAAAAAAAGAGTATACATTGAATTATTTGTGGGATGTTGCTAAAATTCACAGGATAAAATTCAAACATTACAAAAGAAAAAAGTCCCAAATTTAAAAAATGAAGCTTCCATCTTCACACACTATTTTTTAAAAGAAAAAAAAATGCAAGTAGAATAAATGCAAAAATAAAGAGCAAGAATCAATAAAATTAGAAAATGAAAAACAATACAGAAAATAACTGAAGATAACCTGGTTCTTTGAAAACATTTTGAAAGTTGGGGAATCACTAGCTGAGCTAAAGAGAAAAAGAGAGAAGACACCAAAAATCAATATAAGAGTGAAAGAAAGAATACTGTATAGACCCCACACATGTTAAAAGGAAAATAAGAAAATATTGTAAATCACTATGCACATAAATTTTACAAGTTAGATGAAATGGATCAACTCTTTCAAAGCCACAAACTACCAAATCTAAAGCAAGAAAGAATAAATGACTTGAATAATTTATAACTATTACATAAACTGAATCCATAGTTTAAAACCTTTTCACAAAGAAAACTCTAGGCCTAGCATATTTTCACTAGTGAATTTTATCATACAGTTTAAAGAGAAATAACCCCAATTCTATGCAACTTATTTCAAAAACTATAAGAGAAAGAAATATTTCCTAATTCATTTAGAATTACTAATTCTAATTCATTTAGAATTACTCAGATTTCAAAAGCAGAAAAAGATAGTACAAGAAAACTACATTCTAATATCCCTAATGAACATAGGTGCAAAAATACTCCAAAAAAGTATTAGAAAATCTATTCTATTTATATATAAAATAAATAAGACAGTACTGGCCAATTTGGCTTATCCCTCAAATGTAAGGCAGATTTAGAATTCAAAAATCAGTCAATGTAATCTATCACATTTATAAATTAAAGTAAAATAATATGATCATATTATTTAATATAGAGAAAGCATTTGAAAGATTCAAAATCTGTGCATGACAAAAATTCTCAGTCAATTAGAAGGTATTGCTCATAAGCTGACAATGGACATTTACTTAAAAAAAACAGTTATTATTATATTTGATGGCAAAAGACTGAGGATTTTCTCCCTAAGATTTAGTCAAAGATGTTCACTTTCTCCATTCTTAGTCAACAAAATGCTGAAACATACAATTTGGAAAGAAGAGATAAAATCGCTACTACTCACAGATACTGTGATTATTCATAGAAAATCCCAAAGAATCTGGTTTTTAAAAAACTAAATGAATTTGTAGAACTAATGATTGAATTTAGCAGAATCTCAGGATACGTATAAAGTTTAGTTGATATATAAAATTAATCATATTTCTTTATAAAAGAAGTGAAAAATGAAGAAACCAAAACATTTTAAATAGCATTTAGATTAGTGCCCCCCACTAAAGATTACTCAGATATAAATCTAATTTAAGTGTGAGCTCTCTACATTGAATACCACAGACTTTGATGAAAGAAATCAAAGACCTAAACAGAGAAATATACTGCATTTATGTATTGAAAGATTTAATATAGTTCCATTTTCAATTCTCCCAAAATTGATCTATAGATTTAATGTAATTTCAGTAAAAATCTCAGCAGAATTTTTGTAGATAGAAGCAAGCTGATCATTAACATTTATGTGGTTCCAGAGCAGCCAAAAGCAAAGGACATAAAATTCAAAGCAATTTGAAAAGGAAGAATAAACTTTGAGGACTCACATTTGTTAATTTGATGACTTATTATACAGCTACACTAACCAAGAAGGTATTGATGAAGGGCTGGACACACAGATCAATGGAATAAAGTCCAGAAAAGAACTACATAAATATGACTAATTGACTTTTTTCAAAGATACAAAGACAATTCAGTGAAAAGAGCATAATAATATTTTAAACAAAGGAATTTGGAAAAATCAGACATCCATATATACCAAAAATGAATCTCTATCTAACCTTACACCCTATGCAAAAAGTAATTCAAATGGATTATAGACCTAAAAATCTTTTAGAAGAAAGCATCGAAAAAAATCTTCATGACCTTTGGTTAGGCAAAGAGATTTTAGATATAATGTAAAAGGTATGACCCATATTATAGTCAGCTTTTTAATTGCTATAACCAAAAAATGTGATAAGAACAATTACAGGAGGAAAAATTTATTTGGGGGAATCACAGTTTCAGAGGTCTTAGATGGATGGCTCCATTGTTCTGGGCCGAGGTTCCCTTTCTTTAGTGGAATTCTGTTTTACAGATTTAAAGGAAAAGCTTTTTTGCCAGTTTGAGCTGGTTGAAGGATCTGGCTTGTGGAATTAAGAAGAGCAATTATATTTGTTAGGGGGAGTGGAAGCAGCCAGAAAGAACAGGCTGAGTTCTGTGATTGGGATGCACAATGCAGCATATGTCCTGCCAGTTGAAGGACTTCACCTCAGCCCCTGGCAGTGCTCTGGAGAGGAGATAGGACCTCAGAAGGCACAGGCTGCCAGGCACACTCAGGGAGATCTGACCTAAACACCACACCCCCAGGAACAAAAATCCCAAAGGAGAAGGTCTCCACTGAGTTCTGCCCTTGGCTTCCAGGCATCCCATAAGCCTTGCTGGTTCTCATATGAATCAAGTCTCCTCCAACCCTGAACTGACTTAGATGGATATTTTATACCAGCTTCAAGGATAGGGAAACTTGGAGTCAGAGCTAATTTGATTTAAAGAAAAGTCACATGACATTCTCACCCACCCAACTCTATCTGACTTCCTACCTACTACACCTGCGCATGATGTTTGAGTGAGAAATAAATGGGGGACAGAGATACTTTCATGACTCCATGGCAAAAGGCACTGAAGTTCTACCTCTCCTCTGGGTCCAGCCACTTGAAGTTGCCTTGGAGGTTGCTAATGGCGTTTCCCTTCTGAACATCCACAACTGACTCTTGCCCAGCCCTCAGGGAGTCCTTCAAGTCCCTGCGCAGGTGGAGGATACCACTGGCCATGCTGTCCAAAAAACTGAGGATCTGGAGGCATCTCTGAATCCTGGGTGGGAGTGGGCAGCGGGAGGAAAAGGCAGCACTCAGGAAATCAGCAAACGGCCTGGCCTTGGTATCAGACCAAGAGTGTCGAGAGGGTCCTTCTTTGATCAGGACCCCAAAACAGCCCAGCAAGTAGAGGTCCTCAGCCAGCTTCTCAAAAAGCCCATTCCTCCTGAAGAAGTCACTGTTGACAGGGTCCAGGTGCAGTGCTGCAGACACAGCACAGAGGGTATGCAGCACCAGTTCCAGTGTCTGGCTGGGGGTCACAGTCCCCCATACCTGCAGTGGAGGCTCATGGAGAGACCCCTCCAGATCAGACAGCAGGGACAGCAGCCCGTTGAACCCACTGGAGACTCTGAATGCAGCCCGGCCTTTGGGGGTCTCTAGGATCCGAAGAAGAGACTAAAACAGCAAAGAGATAAAAATGAGTGAACTTCAAGAGGCAGTTAACACTGAGCTCATGCACACCTGCTCTGAAGCATCCCATGCACTCTGTCCTGATGCCAAACATCAGAAGTCATAGGAGCCATATGAAGGATGTTCTCAAATACTGAGATATCTCTCTTATTCCTCTTATTCTTAGATTTAAGTTTCCCATAAGTGCCTTTTTTCAAAGAGCTCCCCTTGAAACCTGTGCTGATAGGGTTTATCTAACTCTCTGGCTTTTATGCATCTCCACCCAAAAAGCTGTCTCTGATCCCTAGTTCACACTTATCCTAGGCCCCCCCCAATCCCCTCTTATTCCCCCAATTAAACCATTTTTACACTACTTCATTTGCTAGAAATGGTCTCAGCTATCCCCCAGACAGGATAACCACGAGATTGAGAACCACATCTGGCTTATTCACTGCTGTGGAACCTAGTGCAAACTTAATAACTACTCCCTGCATGAATGGGAACCAACCGTCTCTTTCATGGGAGCTACAATGAAATCCTAAAGAAGCAGTTTATTATTCTCCTTCTCTGGGCAAGCAGGGATGCATCTGTTAAATGATGATATAAAAGCTCATCTTTTCATATCATCTACTTAAAAGATGATATGAAAAGATGAGCTTTCAAGTAGAGAAGGGAAACCCTCAATGAAACAAAATACAGAGGTACCCCCTATAGAATAGACCATGTGTGGAGAAAGAATTTAAAGTACTCCAAGTATATTCAGTAAAATACTTCACCCTCCAGATGGCTGAGACTTCTACTGGTCAGATAAATGTTTATTTCTTCCTAAAATCAAATCTTTGCTGAGCATTTCCAATGCACCATTCATTGCTGCCAGTGTGTAGTATACACTAGGTATGCAATATACCTTTTTGAAAGGCAGGCAGGCAGGTGGCCAGGTGGGCTATTTTTAAGCAGTGCTCACTCTGAGCTAACTTCATACATTAAAGTGAAGAATGTGTGGACAACTTTAGATAAATACTAAAAGCCTGTAGTTTGGTATTTATTGATTAATCACACAAATTGTAGAGGGCCCCATCTAAAACCTGGGCATTTCAGGCACGTTTCCTGGAGAGTAGAGGGTCCTTGTGGTTCCTTTAATAGACTCAAGAGAGATATTTGAGTTATTTTATCCTTTCAAATATTTAATGCTGCTGGAAACAAGGAAGGGGGCAATCTGGAGTCAATTCAGGATGCTTGAGATAAGGCTCAAAGAGAAAAAAACGAGAAACTCCAAATTTGGGGAAGGTGACACTGTGACTTCAGTGCATGTGTTAGCTTGACACATGGAAGTCAGCAGGCAAAGAAGAAACGGGAAGCTCAGGGAAAAAAAGGAGAAAACAGTCATAAAATTCTCCTACATAGAAGGTCAAATAGAAACTTAGTAAAGTTATAAGTAATGATTAAAGATGAAACTATGCACTTTTGATGGGAAAGGTAACTTTCCAGCTGCATCTCTAAAATGCTGGTACCCTAACCTAACAGGAGTTTCTCCCTGTAACAATATAATGGGTGCTCCCGTCACTCAAATTTTGTTGTTTAAAGTCATATTTCATTACAAGAATACCAAGCAGCTTTTTGGGTAGTCAATCCCATGTGTGAGCTAAAACATGAGCCTGGATCATGTTGATGCACACAGATGAGAATTCTCTCAAAGACTCTCAAAAAAAATTCCTCTCAAAGACTCTCAAAAAGTGGTCAAGATCCACTTAATATACTTCGACTACCCAATCCATGAGATTTCAAGAAATCAAAACAAAAATAAATATTATAGTAACTAGGAAAATCTATGAAAGGCCAAATTCCACAGTTTTGTTCAAAATGGATAAGTAATATAAAATGAGAAATATTTATCTTTACCAATATGGGATGATAGATCATTTCCCAGTTAGAGAAAACATCTGTCATATGGTGGTTAGATCAATGATAATCCACCACAGCAAAGAAGGACCAGTATGGGGAAATCAGTTGCCATTTTGGAATTTGAAAAAAAAGAGTTAGCATCAGAGCCACCCACCAAAGGAGATTCAAATCAGAGTCATGGGATAGACTTCAGGTAAATGGACCTTCCATACTGCCAGAAAGACAGAGGCAAAAATAAAATATGAAGGATGTGGCAATGACAGTGCTTTCTCCTTGTGGTGAGAATAGGCCCTCACATTGTGAATTTGGCTCAAAATCCAGGAAAGATTGGCATTTGTAGACATGTCCTTAAAGACAAAAATTAAGATTGCTAGAGCAAAGTTCTTTCAGAAACGGTGATGCTCAGAAAATGTAAAAGCCCATGGCTAGCACTGAGCAAGGCCTTTCTGTGTGTAGACAGTCACCACAGCCACTTGCTTCCACCCCATACTCCTCACCCTGAGGAGCCTGGGGCTGTGAGAGGCCAAGGCAGACACCACATCTGTACCTGCCACACATGCACAACTCTCTCCTAACAAAGAATTATTTCTTCAGCTGAGCAGGAAACTCACTATAATGTTGAAGCTCGTGAAGGTTTGGTCACTTTCCTTCCAAATGATGACTTACATGGTAGAAGGAACACTGCTGAACTATACACAGTGTTTGAAACTATATACTTTGTTTGAAACTGAGCTTGTGCCTGGACACAGGACACAGGCCACCAAAAATAAATCAATCACAAAGACATTGGTAAATTTAAAGCTATACAATTCTAAACAGTCTCAATTCAACTGAGAGTTTTTGATGGCTCTTAAGACAACTAGGAGGTTGGTTTCAAGCACTGGAATGAATGGAGCTCTTCAGTTTATCCCATGACACATGACAAAACATACCAAAAAGGAGAATGATTCAAAAACAAAACTAATCAGATTATAGCCAATTGTCTGAGTGCTTCATGACCACTGAAAGCCCACTCTTCTCTCCAGAAACCACCTTCCAATTGTCCAAATTGATGTCTGATATTGCTTAGAAGGATTCCATCCTTCTAAGAGTGCTGAAAACAGATATTTTTTTAAGAGACACAACCCGATAATAGTCCTCATCATGATCTGTGACTCTCAAAGGGACTGTCACCTGTAACTCCTAGCTGGTTGTTTTCTTTTCTGCTTGGGAGGGGGAAAAGGAAGGAATGGGCTGTCCTTAATTGTTGCTTTGTTTGATTTATTAAATTCAGAGTCATTATCTAAAATGGGGGTAATCTCATTAGAACGTAGACTGTTCTATTATTTCTTGGGATGGGGTTAATTTCATATTTGCAGAGTCATAAAGTAAAGAGTTCAAAATCCAATTACAAAGGCTTAATTTCATAGCAACTAAAGAGAAACATTTCTATCATAAAGGAAAATAAATACTTCGCTACTTCGGGAAACGATTTGTCAGGAACTGGGGGCCTAGGAGGAGGGTCTCCATTACTGTCATTCAACTTTACATGATAATGCATCACATAGGGTTTCCAGTCGGTGGAAGGGAGTAAATTTAATCAGCTGAAGTCAAAGTAATCAGGCTAGGGTTGACACATTTCAAGAAAGGTCAGCGTTAAGCACATTTTCTCATCCTTAACTCAGTTACCATGTCATCGTCTCTGAGTTAGTATTCCTCCAGCTTGAATCTATAAAATGGATGTCTGCTGCAAAGCGCTAACTATGTTAGGACTAACAGGATTTATTTCACATTCTATTATTTGTTATTCCTCATAATTTTCCATGTGTCATGCTGGAAGACTGGTGAGGTAATGTGATTAAAGCTCAGAGTTGAACAGCTAAATGTATATTAGCAAATCAATCTGAATTTGTGCATAACCCAATCATGGTCCCACCGGCCATGGAGAGGAAATTCATTTGCCTACATTATTCCTTAACTCAGTTATCATTTGGGAGAATTGGTGGTGCAGTCACATGTGACTTTAGTGTTGGTATGGAAGCACCACTGAATTTTGGAAACATCTGCCCTGAATTGGTCTTCTCCAGAGTGGCTGGCAGATTTTGCCACAAGGAAGGGACACTGGAACAATGCCATGTTGGGAATGCATTTCAGAGACAGCAACCCTTTACCACCAACCCCTTTGCATTTCAGGTCCCAATACGCCAGCATTTCCCCCTCATCCTCTGTCTGACCCACTCTGTGGATAGTACCTGTGGTCACAGCCAGGCCTTAGCTTCTAGCAAAGGAGATATAGCCAAAAGGAGTTCATTTCACATCTTTGCTCCCAAAGTTCCAAGGGATTCCCAAGATGATTGAGAAACAATTGCATATCCCACATCAGATTCCATCAAACATTCACTAGATACTCATGTTACTCAGTGGTAGGCAAATCTGGGTTAGGCTCGGGGGGGCCCATCCTGCTCCACTGCTCACTGGAGCAGCAATGTGTTAACAGCCCTAGTCCTCAGAGGGCAATGGCAGCTCCTGGGGCCTCCCAACTGCCCAGCAGTGACTTGGTACATGGGGAGAAGATGGCACATTGAGCACAGGCTATGATTTTGTTAAATAAGCTCTCGGAGTGTTCATTCTTATGTGCTCTCTTGATAGTGTGATTCTGAAATGATATTGAATCTGTAAAACACCATAATGGCTTTACATTGCTAATTCTAGAAATTCAGTCCATTACCCAAGGGCTAACACTCCAATAAGAAGCCTCTGGGCTATTGAGTAAACAAGATGAACTCTCCAAGAGCAAAGCAGAGCACTTCTTCTGTATTAGACACAAAAATGCTTTTACTCTCCAAACAAAGTAAAAGAGAAATTTTTTTCTTCTCTGAATCTGTTTAACTTTCAATATGAAAGTGTCAGAAATGATTGTTCACCCTGTCAAAAACCACAGTCCGGACTGCTCTCATGGTACTTTTCCTTTTCCTGTAAGAACACATAAAATAAAGCTGAACACAGACATGAGGAGGAAATGAGACAAACAGCCTGCCAAGGTGGGAAAATCACTCATTCTTCAGTTGCTAGTCTTAGATTCAGACTAACTTCAACACTTATAGAAATTATCAATGAAGTGCTCTAACTAGACTCTCTCTGCCTATAACACTGGAAAACGGGGCCACCTGAATCTAAGGTCTTTCCCAGCACTAAATTTTCATCAACTCTTTTTGTTTTGTTTTGTTTTTGCTTTATGATGCCCCTACTTCACAAAATCACTGGGCTGTTCCAAAAGATATTTAACTTTCCTTTTTTGCTTCATAGAAATCACTGTCACTGATTTTTTTTTCCATGTAGTGAAATCATTGTTTGGGTTCCTGTTATCTGTGAAGCACATGATAGCCATGTTCACAATGTCACTTTTATATGAGTCACTCATTGCTTCTGCCAAGCCAACCCCTGCAGGCTTTGGCCTTGTGAACAGGCAAAGTTCACACCAATGTCTGATATTGGCTCTGCAGAGAAACAAAGTATGTCAAATGATTCAAACACCATCCTCTACATGTTCAGAAAGGTTTTGTCCAGAGACATACATAAGTAAGCTAGATTAATGGTTTACTAAATTTGGGGAGTCAGAGAAGTTTGAACTTTTTTCTTTTTTTAATTCACCAAAAATTGGGTATGACATTCTAAGAAAACATAAGCATGTGCTTCATTTGGGATTGTGCTACACATACATGTGAGAAGTCCAGGTCCACTCCCCAAGGGATATTTACATTTATTTCTGCTCTGTCCCCAATTAGAATAAAACCAAAGAAAAGAGAATTTTTTCCAAAAAGTATAAATCCATAAACATTAAAGAAGTGAAGGAAAGGAATGGTAACAAAATTGTGAGAGCCATAAGACAGAAAGAATAGTAGGGTTAGTATTTTATTATATTTCTTTAACTAAATTAAGGTAATTTGTTAATTATTAGCAATATCATAAAAGCATATAATCCTCTGTTATCCAAATGTTACAACCGAGTCTCATTTGTCCCCATGTACCTGCTGCTCCCACACCTTTCACTTTCTTTTGCTCCCTTTATCTCTTCTGAGAGCTTTCCTCATACAGGTGAGGCAGAGCTGATCTCCCTTACTTTTCTTTTTCATAGCAGGCTGTGCCCAATGGCTAACCAGGGCATCTACCACACTATAATACAACCCATGCTCACTTATTATGAGCACTCTTCTCTGAGCTCCCACAGGCCCAGGTTAGTATCTCATTCTATTGTATGTCCAGGCATTCTGTATCAGGCCTGGTAATTGATAGATGCTCAGTAAGTAGAGTCAACAAGGCAGTTGTTTAACCACCACTGATTTGAGCTCCACTTTCACAGTTTACAATGTTGCTGGGAAACAGCTGCCTTCATGGGGACTACATTTCCTGGAACCCCTGACATTCAAGTGAGTCCTCTCCAAAGTTCTGTCCATAGAAAATTAGACAGAAATTAACACATGGCAGTTCCAGGTCTGAATGAAAATGCCTTCTGCCATTTTCCATGGTAGTTCTTCCCTTGTGTGCTAGCTGAGTTAGAAGGCCAGGTGATAGCTGTGCCTGAATAGCAGCCACAATCATTGATTGGATTCTATGCAAAAAGGAAAGTCTAATGTATCAGGCAACCGAGGATGTGAGATTTATTTGTTATAGCAGCTAACACTGCCTAACACAATGCACTACCTAATATAGTGGCCAACTAAATGAACCAAAGCCTGAAAAAATGTGTATCATTTGGTAAATATCTATAGAAAAGCCAATCACAAAGAGGAACTTGAAATTACCTTCAGGAGGTCCAGTTTCAGCTGCAGCTCCCCCTGAGTGGATGAGCACAAAGCACCAACAATGATGCTCATATACTCTTCAGCATTGATGACAGAGAGCTGCTCCAAGATGCTGAGTGAGGCTCCCCTGTAGCACTCATCGTCCAGGAAGATCTTGATGAAGGGCACCATGCCATGGTCTTTCAGGACAACTGGGGACCAGACAGACAAGATGGGGCTGGAGCATGGAGCCTTGGTACCTCAGTTTCACTCTTAAGGAATGCTTTGTCTTTAAACTCGTTTTGCTACATTTTAAGTATTCTGTTTGCCTATTGGTATGCCCATTATAAATTAAAATGAAAAAAAGAAGAGAGAAAATATGAAGCTGAAAATTTTTAAAAACTGCTTTCTTCATCATTGAGAATCTTATTTTGGGGTGGGGGGAAATTTTCATCAATATCTCCATAGGAGATAAGTTTAAGATAGGATAAATAAGTTCAAGACAACTATAGTTAAGAACAATGTCTTATAGTCTTGTAGGAAAAAAGAGGGAGAAAAAACACCTTCTTTTTAGAAACCTAGGTAATGGGAATTTTAACTAGATATCCCTTGCCCTTTGTTTCCCTATAACTTGATAGTCCAGAGAGACAATACTCTCTTTTTTTCTGATAAAATTCTTGCAGAAAACAAACTAGAATCTGAGAACATATTTAATTTCTGGGTAGTTTCTTGGGGAGAAAATAAAGGAAACCAAGTTGGTGGTATGCTCTTGTTTAAAAATAATCCTAAACATTTTTTCTTCCCCAGAATTGATTTTTGGAGTAGTTCACGTGGAGTAAAAACTAGGCAGTAACTTGCCCAAACAAATGTGGATTTGAGAAGCTCAAGTCCATAATGCAGAATTAGTTTAATTGTGGGCTGAGTACTCCCCTACCTGACCATCCCCATGGAGGCTTGCTGAAATGGTAGCTTCCTCAGCTCTACCTTGACTTACTACTAGTTAAATGTCTGAGAGTGAGCTGAGGAATATAAACTTTAACTAGCCCCTCTGGGGAATGTTTTATAGTCTAATGTTAGAGACTTCCCTTTGCTATAATGAAATAATAGCTTTTTACATTTAGGATAGTTAATCTATAAGAACCTCAGATAAAGATACCTAAATCACAGAACACACTGCCCATTGATATGACTGTTGGTACATGTTTCATATTATTTTAAATATATGTATGTGTGCATGTGTGTGTATTGCACATACTTTCTTAAAAATATAGAAACAACATGATCTTAGAAAGCTAAAAAAAAAAAAAAGTCAGGGGGAGGGAGTCTGGGGATGGATAGAGTTTCAAGATTACCCTGGCCAGGAGTTATGTCCAAATTATATTTCTTAAAAAGGACTAATTTCCTTTAATTGTCTTTACCTCTTTAGCTGTTTCTTTTTCTCTTTTTGGATCTATAGTCATTGTAGCAGAATATTAATGGATTTTACTTGAAAAGAGGGAAGGGGCTCTGTAATTCCCATTAATTTAGAAACTGCTAGACTAAGTACAATCTCTTTGCTCACCAACCTTATTGCATAACCTTAGAGTAAAAAGTATCAACCAAGATGTCTATTAATTTACTGTTGGTCACTGAACACCAACCAGCAGATGGACATTACACATAGCATTAATATTGGTTATTCCCTGAATATAACTTTTGAAAATTCATGTAGATAACCAGGAAATAATTAACATTTTAATAAATAATGACAAGGCAAAGTTGGTACCATTCTTACCTGCATTCCGAACCGAGCCTTTCAGAAGTGCTACCACAGTTCTCAGCATCACACAGGTGAGTTCTCTTTCTGGATCCTGAATGCCAGGACTATACTCTTTGTTTCCTATCATATTAAAGAATCAACAAAAATCCAAGTACACATTAATTTCATTAGTTTCTATTCTCTTAAGAAGATGTGAATACAGTACTTCTATTATAAGGGAGTGTGAACCCCAATTCTTGAGATATGACACTACTACCCTCAAAAGCAGTGGTTCTCCAATGTGAGCATTATCAGAATCCCCTAGTTGGATTGCTGGTAAAATCCAGAGCTTCATGCTGGGTCCCATCCCCAGAGGTTCTGAATTAATAAGTCTGGGATGAGAGCCTACAACTTGCCTTTCTAACATGTTCCCAGGTAATGCTGATGAGGAGGGTCCACTGACCATGCTTCACTTTAAGAAGCATTGCCTTGCCTTCTTGATTCTCTTTTCACCACTTTTACAGTTCACCATCATCCCTGGGAGAGAGTACAGCTCATACCCAAGCCATTCAGAAGCTCAAGAGATTTGAGCATAAGACGTGTCCCCACTAAATCCACAAGGGCAAAACCAGGTTTCTGTTCACCATTGAATCCCAACACCAGAAAAGTGCCTAAACAAGTGGGAAGCTCAATACATATATAGAGAATGAATGAATAATGAGTACAAAGTATGGCTTATTACCAGGAGACAGAATACCTATGAATAAATAAAGCACGTTTTAAAACACAAAGCACAAAGTAAGACTGACTACTTTAGCTTGCTAAAAAGCTCAAACTCTCCTAGAAATGCTCATAAGTCTGGGATGAGACTTAGAAGCAAATAGATGACAGAAAGCAATACGGAACTAGAACAATACAAAAACACTTAAAAACAAAAGACTGTGCAAAGATTTCTCAGTTAAATGCCAAGGAAAGCTAATTTGCTAACTTTATTCATGACCAGATTTAGGGCATGGCTTGAATGTGTCCTCCAAAATTTAAGTGTTAAAAACTTAATTATGCATTAATAATATTTGAAGGTGAGGCTTTTGAGACATAATTAGGTTTAGATGAGATCATGAGAGTGGAGACCCTGTGATGGGATTAGTGACCTTATCAGAGGAGAATGAGAGATCCAAGAATGGAATGCTGGATCCTTTGTCCTTTGCTGCCCTCCACCACGTTTTGATGGAAAAAGAATGCCTTCACTAGATGCTTGCACCATGATATTGGACTTCCTAGCCTCCAGAAGCATGAGCTAAATAAACTCCTATTATTTATAAGTTATCCAGTCTATAGCATTATGTTATAATGACAGAAAAGGGACTAAGACAAAGCTACTAAAGAACAGAAATTTGCATATAACAAAACTGTCCAGGAAATATGCATACAACAAAACACACAAAGCATTCTGGAAGCCCATTGTCCTCAATCCTGATCAGACTTGCAAATATTCTCAGGACAGGATAGGCCTTTTCTGGCCTCCAAAAGGTGCCCAACCTCTTCCTGGAGTATCAACCTCAGTCTTCCATGCAACACCATGCAAGTGTAGGGATACAGAAATTAACATTTTCTGAGCACCTGCTATGTACCAGGCACAGCAATGGGGCCTTTTTCTTTAATTCTCAGAAGATTCCTATGATGTAGCTATTATCAACATGTTACTGAGAGGGAAGCAAGTCCAAAAAGACAAATTAACTTTGCTAAGACCTCTCCATTTGTAAGTAATAAGGCCAGGATTTCAGCTCAATCCTGATTATTGCCTGGCTCCAACACCCATGATCTCTCTCTCTGCTTCTTCTCCTCAGATAGACTCAGGAAATAAACAGGCTAATGATGACCTTGGCTTAAGTCTGAAGCAGATTTTCAAAAGCCCCAAAGGCCAGAGAGTCCCCAGGCACTCCTAGCCTGTGCAGTGGGACAAGGAGAGGAGAAAACGGTGAGGAGAGATAAAACAATCAGATTCTTGTGTTCTCGGGTCCCTCCTCCAGGCTGATTTCACAGAACAGCAGATGTACACAGATCAAGGGAAAGACAAGAGAAATAGGAAAAAGGAAGTTTTGTGCCTATTTTCCATCTGAAAATCACTGGAGGTGGAGGCTACAGAGTCCCATATACAGGGTCCCCAGCAGGGTTTATGGCTGGGACATGGTAAAGAAATTAAAGGGCCCAATGCCCATTCACTGTGCACTTTCACGAGGACATAAGGCACTCCAAAGTGTGCCTTATGTCACTTTGGGTTGCTGAAGTTGAGACCCTGGAGTGCAGGGACTGAGGCAAGTGCCAGGGGTATAGCCAAGAAGGCACAAGTGGCTGCCCAACAGGGCACACAAAGTGGGACCAAAACTTGGAGGTCCTGGTGACCCCTCTGCCAGTGGGGAACCATCAGACCAACAGTGTGGAGTGAGCAAGGCCATATCTCAGAAGATCCTTAAAGAGCAGAGCTCTTCCAGAAGCCTAGAGCTCTCCAGGCTCCCATTACCCTTTTCATTACTGAAGATCCACAGGTCCCCAGCTATCTCCCATCTACATACCCAGACAGTGTCTAGGGTGGGAAATACTTAAAAACTAAGGGCCTGGGTTAGTCCCAAGTGCATTCTTTTTTTTTTTTTTTTTTTAGAGAGAGTGAGAGAGGAGAGAGAGAGAGAGAGAAATTTTTTTAATATTTATTTATTTTTTAGTTCTCGGAGGACACAACATCTTTGTTGGTATGTGGTGCTGAGGATCGAACCCAGGCCGCACGCATGCCAGGTGAGTGCGCTACCACTTGAGCCACATCCCCAGCCCCCAAGTGCATTCTAAAGTTGCATCCATCACTTTTACCTTCTCATGGGGAAGACTGGGAAGCCTGCCTACTCTTTGTGATGCCATGTGTCTCAGGGACACCTTCTCTGACCTTCATGATGCCCAGTGCCATTTGCATGCTTATATTCTCTGTCACATCAAGGGGTTTTGGGGTTGTCACATAGACCAAGCCTAGCTAATACTGATCCCAGCCCACTTTCCCATCCCTCCCTATTCTCTGAGGCCACACCTGACTTCCTCATGATCTTGGCCTGCTTCCTCAGCTGGGCCAGCAGCAAGCCCAGCAGCCCTGAGTCCCTGAAGATGTCAGTGAAGAGAGGGTCACTGCCAGTGATCTTGAGGATGCTCTGCAGTGCCACAAGGGTACAGGATGGCTCAGGGCTCTCCTTGATCAGACGCTGCACCTTCTGCAGGATCTCATGGGGCACGTAGCACATCTTGAACACCAGTGACTCCAGGAGCTGGAAAAATTGCACCTGCACTGGGGTAGGCTTCAGGGGTACAATCTCCACAAACTGTGAGATGGGCTGCAGGGTCCACTCCAGAAGGAAGAAATTCCAAGGGTTCCAAGCCCACATGGTCTTGATGGCCAACAGGACTTGCATGCAGAGGACAGCATCATTGGCTTTGTGGAAAACACTCTGCAGAACCTGGAAGGCCTGCAGATTCTTAACACTCACACCTAAAGATGAAAACAAGAATAATCCTGCAAGTCATTTCTCCCATTTAGAAATATGTGCTTGCATTATCATTAGAACACCCTATTTGAAGTTTCTATTTTCTAGGTCTTGTGTATATGCATCTATCAAAATCCAAAAAGGTCATCCACTCAGGATATGAAAAAGGCTGGAGCTGCATTGTCAAAGATATGTTGGTTAATAGAGCACTCTAACTGTGGCCACTGTGAACCAAGATGTTCCAAAAGCGTCAAAACACACTGGAGTTCCAAAAGAAAGTTGAAAGAAAAGAAAAATTATCCCATGAAGAGTCATTTGTATTGGCTGCACGTTGAGGTGTTACATTCTGGATATATTGAGATAAATAAAATACATGACCAAAAATAATTTAACCAGTTTCTTCTTATTTGAAATTACATGATTTGATTTACATTGTGTTTCATTGGCCAGAGCTGGTCTGGGAGAATTATTTTCAATTGATTAAAATCAAATGATGGCAAAGATGACCAAGCAAATAAGTTTCATTTCAAGATAAGCCATTAAAGAATATACCTTCCTAACTCGCCCGCCCTTTTTCTCCAGCTGAAAAGACGACTCTCATTCTCTCTCATGTAGGAGATGCTTCATCAGAAAGCTCTTTGCCTACAGTCCTCTCTCCTTGGATACCAGAGAAGTTTCTGAAACTGAAATCTCTGGTCCAACATTCCCCTGAACCTTATCCATGTCCCTGTGCATCTGCTGAAGCCCACCCAGTGGCCCTTCTTAAGCTGGCCCCTATGGCTTTCCACTCTTCGGCCTCGGCTCTGCAGCAGCTCCCCCTTCCTCAGATTCACCCAACTGTTCAAGGCCACATTTTTTTCCCTAGACAGTACAACCTACCTTTAAAGTCTTCCCTTTCATTTCAATCTGGAACAATCACACTTAGCCTTCAAAACACCTTCCACCAGGCACCTCTGTGCGGGGCTTACTGACCCATGGGATGTCACAGCTGTGTCACATGCATTTGTCAGACAGTTCTCTAGCAGAATATATTCAGTGTGTGCACAAGGTCTCTAAAGAGAAGCAGGCACCTGGCCTGTTCACATGGGCACCCATGTGGCACCCATGTGTGTACAGACTGAATTCATCAATTAATGAATCATATCTCAAAGTACTAAGAAGAGAAGTCACTGACTGATCCTAGGAGGTTGATTCAAGGTCATCAGACTTCATCACAAATATTAGAGTCTCCACGAGGTGGGTGGTGGAATCAGAGAACTCCTCCAATCTTTTCCTTTATTAAGCAATATTTCTTCTGAGTTCTACACAAAACAAACTTCCTCATTGTAAAAAGCTGTAGTTGCACATCTGGGTAAGTGTATAAAGGGGAGATTTCAGACTCACGGCTCATTTCCCCAAAGGCTATGGCCGTATCAAACTCTCCTACCTTAACAGGTAAACACAGAAAAGGGGGGGGGCCTGCATAGACTTATCAGGGCACAGCATTGACTCCATTGGGGTTACCCAGAGACACAAGAAGGACCCACCAGAAGTCTCACGATGGAACTTGAAGCCTTCAAGCTGAGGGTAAGTGACACTGTCAAACACCTTCAGCTCTGACCTTCCACAGGTTGTCAGCCACACTACTAGTCCAACAAGCTCCTCCAGGTGGGGGTCCACTTCACCCTGAGTCAGTCCGTCGTACCTGTGGGGACAGATGAGGCCATCTCCTTGCACATCTTGCATGGAGCAGCCACATTTGTGCATGGTGCTCCTCACAAGGAGACAGAGGCAATGCAGATCTGTCATATTGGGGAAGACCCCAAAGATCTTAAGCCAGAGGCACCATGTTACCAAAGACAAGGAGAACATCCTGGATAAATGCTATTATGTTTGCAAACTTCAGCTAAATAAGTGCTACCAGAATACAATAATCCCCTCTTATTGGTGTTTTGCACTCCAAAGTTGCAATTACTCCTGATCAATCATGGCCCTAAAATATTAACTGGAAAGTTCCAGACACAAACCATTCATAAGTTTAAAATACCTTTTCTTAGGGTATATTTTCATATAATTGTTCTATTTTAGGATTTGTTATTGCTGTTATACATTTATTGCACCCAATTTATAAATTAAATTTTATCATAAGTATGCATGTACAGGAGAAAAAAATAGTACATCTAGCATTCAGTTGCAGGCATTCACTTGGGATCTTGGAACATATTCCTTGCCCATAAGGAAGAACTAATATCTAGAGGAACCTGTAAAAAACTACAACTCTGTTCAGAGAATGGCTGCTTTCTAGGCTGGATTCTCAAAAGACATAAGCTTAGGGCATGAGCAAAGAAGGGGCACTTCCAAAATGAGTCAGTATTTCTAAAGAGCAATGAAACATCATTAGAAAGAACTAGGTTTCAGTAGATTTCCTCCTGCTTACCATAAGGTTGAATATTGCTTTGATTTTAGCTACTTATGCACAGGTGAGCTACCTTGCTCTGCTCATGAGGAAGAGCCTCTTCAGGCTCATTTCACCTCTGGTATTTCAACAGGAAAAGGTGCTTCCATTAAAGCAGGGAGGAAAGACAATAAACTGAAATGGGTGCTTCCCCACACTTCCTACAATAGGCTTATTTCCACCTCCTGCCTTCTACAAGAAGTCTGGGAAGAGTTGACCTGTGATTGAGCCAAAGAAATGTGTAGAAAATGCCATACATATACCACCACAGTGGCCATAGCCATCTGGTCATGGTCCAGACTGATGTGAAATGTGATGCACCCACAGAGGGACATTTATTCCTAGCATCCCTTTGGAGCAAGTCCCTCAGGTTATTCCCATTTAATCACATTCCAGTGGAGACTGAACTGAGGGACTTCAGTACCTCTCATCCAAGTCACTCCCTCTAGGTTCAAAACCTTGCTCTGTTGTGAAGTCCAGTAGTAATCTACACCCTAAAGAGGAGAAGCAAAGCAAAGCCCAGAGGAAGACACATCAGAAAGAGAAATTAGGAAAACTATCCCATTCACAATAATCTAAAAAAAAAATAAGAATCAGTCTAATGAAAGAGATGAAAGACCTCTACAATGAAAATTACAGAACAGTAAAGAGGAAAACAACAGAAAGACCTCCCATGATCTTGGATAGACAGAATTAATAGTATCAAAATGTCCATACTACCAAAAGCATTATATAGATTCAACGCAATTTCCATCAAAATTCCAGTGATACTCTTCATGGAAATAGAAAAAGTACACATGAAATTAATCTGGAGAAGCAAGAGACCCAAAATAGCGAAAGCAATCCTTAGCAAGAAAAGCAAAGCAGGAGGCATCACAATACCAGACCTAAAATTATACTATACACCTACATTAGCAAAAACAACATGGTATTGGCACCAAAACAGGCAAGAAGACTAATAGAACAGCATAGAAGACACAGAGACAAATCTATAAAAATACATTACTTCATACTAGACAAAGGCACCAATAATATACCTCAGAGAAAAGACAGCCTCTTCACAAATGGTGCTGGGAAAACTGGAAATCCATAAGTAGCAGAATGAAATTTAGCCCCTATCTCTCATCCTGCACAAAACTCAGTTTAAAATTGATCACGGTCCTAGGTATTAGATCAGAAACCCTACACATAACAGAAGAAAATGTAGGCCCATTCTTCAACATGATCCCTAAAGCTCAAGAAGCAAAATCAATAAACAATAAACGAAATGGTATCAAACCGAAAAGCTTCTTCAGAGCAAACGAAGCAACCAAGAGTGTGAAGAGAGAGCCTACAGAATGGGAGAAAATCCTTGCTACCTGCACCTCAGACAGAGCATTATTTTCAGGATATATATTTTTAAAAAAACCTTTAAAAACACCAGAAACATCCCCAAATGACCCAATCAATAAATAGGCAAAGGAACTGACACTTTACAGAATAAGAAATATAGTCAACAAATACATGAAAAAATGTTTAACATCTCTAGCAAAATAGAGAAATGCAAATTAAAACTGAGAATATAATGAGAATCGATTTCACTTCAGTCAGAATGGCAAATATCAAGAATACAATTAATAATAAATGTTGGCGAGGATGTTGGGAAAAGGGTACACTCATATATCGCTAGTGGGACTGCAAATTGGTGCAATCACTATGGAAAGCAATATTGAGATTCCTCAGAAAACTTGGAATGGGAACACAATTTGACCCTGGTATTCCACTCCTCAGCTTATACCCAAAGGACTAAAAATTAGCACAATATAGTGATGTAGCCACATCAATGTTTATAGCACCTCAATTCACAATAGCTAAGCTATGGAACTAACCTAGGTGCCCTTCAATAGATGAGTGGATAAAGAAAATGTGATATATATACACAATAGAGTATTACTTAGCCATAAAGAAGAATGATTTTATGATGCTTACCAGAAAATGGATGGATCTGGAGACTATCATGCTAAGTGAAGTAAGCCAGTCCCAAAAAGCTAAAGGTCGAATGTTTTCTCTGATAGGTGGAAGCTAACCCACAAGAAACAAATAACCAGAGTGGGAGGACAATAGAAGTGCATTAGATTAGGCAATGGGGAATGGAGAGGAGGGAGCAAGATAAGCAAAGGGAAAACAGTAGAAGGAATCTGACATAGTTTTGCCATGTACAAATATGAAAACAACACAGTGAATCCCACCACCATATACATCCATAAGAATAGAACTCTAATTAGAATAAAATATAGTCCATGTTTGTATAATTATATCAAAATGAACTATGTATAACTAAAAAGAACAAATAAATTTATGAAAAAATAAAAGCTTGAACCATCAAAGAATTTCCTTGATTTCCATTGCTTGCTCTTTCTAATCTCGAGGCACAACCTGAAGATGATATAGCAATTCAGAGTGGAAGACACTATCCCAGACCCAGCTGGACAATGTTTTTATTTGGTTCTCCCAAAGCTTAAGGATCTGGGAAAGAAGTACTTCATTTGGGACTACATCCCAGAAAAACACAGAAGGGGAGAAGCCACCCAAGGCAGGGGAGCACAAGAAGCCAGTGTGAGAGCATTATGAGCCAGAACCTCACTGGGCAACTGCAGTCAGTCCTTCTGGGGAACTCACAGAGTGCAAAGCTTTCCCACCCAAGGGCACTTTTGCTGAGCATTTACCTATCAGCTCCTGTCAATCACTGGTCAAGAGCTGCCCCTGCAAGGTGTCAACTCCTACACATGTCCAGCCATCCAAGAACACTGGTAGGGAAGCCGACAACAGCCCCCAGAAAGCCTCCAACATAGACATGTGGGCTCTGACAGGTGAGAACCAGGCCAATAGCATGACACCAAGCAGAATTGAAAAATTTACCCTGTTGCCCATGGATTTTGAAGGAAGTGGTCACCACCTCAGTCTGCATGTTGGGTTATTTTGCTGTGAGGGGTCTCTCTGGTCATGCTCCGGGGAGTTTTACACTTCAGAAGACATGCTGAGGGGCTTCAATAACTGTCTTCCACACTAGCATCCCAGATGATTCTAAGGACCATGGCAGGGATGTTCCCATTTCTCCCCGCCACCAGGCATAGGCACTTACCGTAATAATACCTTGAGTAACAGAGGATAACCCTCCCCGTTTTCAAACTCCAGGAGCAGAGTTGTGGAGATGGGGTAGGAGTCCTTCACAAAGCCCAAGATGAGGTTCACAGCTTCGCTCACCTCGGGAGGTGGGAGAGTGTCTGCCAGCCTGGAGAGGTTCTGAACTGAGAGCCGGACACAGTCAGCAGCTGTAGGAGGGAAGCACAGCACTGCTGAGCCCAGAGGCAAGAGCTTGGCTGCTATAGTCTTTCCCTATCCCCGCCACCCTCCTCCACTTTGAACTGCATGTCAGATGTGAGTGAGATTGAATCCAGAACATGTCCTACTGACTCTTGGTTCAAAGAGAAGCTTCCCCCATGGGAAGGGCCATCATGAAAGCCAAATCCTGCAGGCCAAGCAGGTGACCCAGAAAAGGAGGGAGGAATTTTAGCCCCCTGTTCCTCTTTCCCAACATACAGGAAAGTCCAGGTCCCTGAGGAACAAGATGCAAGACACAAGACCCGAGCGTCCTGGAAGACCTGAAGGAAACAGTGTTGGGAGCCGAGTTTGGAGAGCTGAGCAGGAATTATTGATTAAAAGTGAGAGAAGGATAGGTGAATACATGAGGAAGCAGAGAGGGAAAAGATGTGTGTTTCAGGTAGTGAAGAAGCCATGGGATTAGAGCAGCGCTGTGAGGGCCACAGGGGAGAAGGAAGATGCTAACCACATGAGGGACCGGGCATGAGTCAGAAAGAGAGGCCTTCAGACTTGCATCGGAATGGATCCCTGTTTTCAGGGATGTCTCACTGAATGGAAACTCTTCTGAGTGCTGGAAAGCCACACCAGTGGAACATGAGATAATGCATGCTTGGTCTCTGAGCAGTGAGGACTCAGAAGCGCCTGAAGTCTGCACATTGGGCAGAAAAGCGCCAAGAGTTGCTGCTGTGTCAGGGAATTGCCAGACCAACCTTCCCCTCCTGACGACCTCCTGGCCCCTAAGCCCACAGAAGCCACCCATTCCCTTAAAGAGGTTCTGATCTTAGCGCTCTGGGCGGCAGGCTCCCCACTTAGGTGAAATCTTCTTGAGTGGTTGTTGTCTTGGGCGGCAGAGGACAACATAGTCAGAGACAACCCCCACCCAAGATCCCCAAGGCCCACAACATCTTCTCAGCTACTTAGATTCTAGCTGGTGAGGAGAACTAAGAGAGACTGAGTTATTGAGACACAGCTTAGCCCTCCACTGTTAACACTGGGCCCTGGTTTCACAGAGAGCTTTGAATCTCCAAACTAGGATGACATGTCCTATAGGAACTCTGTTACAGTCAGAACATAGGCTTGTTGGACTTTACTGGTTCTCACCATCTAATGCCACCTATTGTAGGAGACCCCAGAAAGAAAACAAATCATAGAACAGGGGTTTGTGAACATGTAAGTGATATTAGTATCTTGAGACCCTAACTAGCTTCCAAAGAGTCCATACCTGCAGGTCAGCCCAAAGGAAGGGCTGTCATGTTCCCAGCATGGCTGCTGTGCTCAGCTGCTGGAACTGAGAAAACGTTGCTTGGTGGGTGGGAGGTGAGCTAAGGTGAACCTTCCTCAAAATGTCCTCCTTGGAACTAGCCTATGGAGGTTCCCTCTCTGCCCTATGAGGGGCCAGCCGCTGAGATGAGGCCTGCACCTTGCCCTGACATGCTAGGAGTCACAGTGGTCTCCTTGATTCTCAGCTTTGTCTAGGTACTTGGATGTTAGATAATGCTAAGGGGAGGACCTTAGGATTTCTACTAGATTTAGCTTCTGCAACTTCTTGCCTTTGATCAAACCCAAGCAATGATGATGGGATGCTAAGACCAATGCAGCATCCATTTTATATACACACACACACACACACACACACACACACACACACACACACACACACACACCAAGCACTGTCTAAACATTTTCTGTGTGTCAACTCACTGAAGAATCACAAGAACCCAAGGAGATTATGTATTATTATACCCATTTTATAGATGAGAGAACTGAGGCACCCAAGAGGTTGAATGCCTGAGGTCATTCAGAAGAGCTAGAGTCTACACACCCTGACTAGCTGGTTCCAGAGTCTATGACCTTCACCCCAACATGTGCTCCTCAAACCAGAAACTGAGGTGCTATCATCAGACATCTCTAAGTTTAAAAGTAGAAACTCACAAGGTCTTCTATCACTTTTAATCTTCACTTTCTTAATCTCCAAAATTCATCTCAAAAAAACAAATGAGATAGTATACAAATGATCCCATTACAGTGTTTGTTTGATAGTATGAGCATGGTGAATGAAATCCCCTTTCCTCCCTCCTCTAATGGAGCATCAAGATGAACAATACAATCACTTTCACAAATGGTGCCAAGTATTATTGAACCATCCACAAGGCATATCTGTCCATTCACCTCTTCTTTGGTCCTGAAATTTATTCTGATATCAGAGGAACATCTCAGGGCCTCGCTGTAGAAAGTGGCCCTAAGTCTTTACTCCAAGAGTTCGAAGAAAGTCTCCTGGGACCTACCCTGGAGGTATTGGATGATACTGGGGCTTTGAGCCCTGGAGATTGCCTTCAGCACACAGAAGGTGGGCTCTTTCCAGAAGTAGCAGCTGTGTTCCCGAAGACAAGTGGTGGCAATCAGTAGAGACTGAAGTTCACATCCTGAAAGAAATCCTTCCAGACCCTGAGACTCACTGCAAATGTTGAGTAACATCTGAAAAAAAAAAATGAAGGAAGGAAGGACGGAAGGAAGGGGAAAAAAGAAAAGAAAAACGAAGAAAGGTCTTGTTAGAAAGACTCCCTTCTATGACTGATTTGCTCCCTGCTTCTGTGGAGCATTGATGGGCATATTCAGCAGAAAGGACTAGATTGTATCTATGGTCAATCTCTGTTGTTGACCAGCCTGGTCCACCCAGCCAGCTAGGGAAGGGGGCATGGCTGTGGCTCAAGTCTGAATGTTAAATCCCTACACAAGTGATTGCTACGTTTTCCAAATCAGGATATAGTAGGCACTTTATCCATGGGTGATGCATTCTAAGATATCACCCAGACACCTTAAACCCTGTATAGTATTAAACCTTACATATACAGTTGGCCCTCTGTATCTGTGGGTTCCTATCCATGGATTCAACCAAATAAGGATAGAAAATATTTGTGAAAAATATTGCATCTGAAATGCAAATGTTCAATTTTTTTCTTGTTGTTATTCCCTAAAAATATAGCATAATAAGTACTTATATAATATTTGCATTGTTAGGTATTATAAGTAACTTTGAGATGATTGCAGGCATAGAGAAAGTGTGTTCAGGTTATGTGAAAATGCTATGCCATTTTCTATAAGATACCCAAGCACCTACAGACTTTGGAATCCATGGAGAGTTCTAGAACCACAACCCCCTAAGGATACCAAGGAACCACAGTACGTGTATTTTTCCTATGCATATAGGCTTATAGTAAAGTTTAATTTATAAATTAGGTACAGTAAAAAATAAATAATAATAACTAATAATGAAGTAGAACAAATTGTAGAAATGTACTGTAATAAAAGTTATTTAAAACATGAATTGTTTGTTTATGGAATTTTTCCTTATATTTTCAGACCAAAGTTGACTACAAGTAACTGAAACCACATAAGGGGAAACTCCTGTAATAGAGAAGTGATTAACTTCAGGGTCTTTTTATATGGAAATACAGAAAAATGACATAAACTATTAAGGGATAGCGTTAACAGGGCCTGGTACCATTTAAAAAGAGAGGTGTTCCAGAATTCCTGGTTGACACTCTACTCTGAAAGATCACGAAAGCTAGTTATCCTTTAATTCTAAATTAAGCTCCTTTTCCCTGCTAATCTAGTCTCCAAATGGCTAGCAGAGGGACTTCCCATATCTTCCTATTCATTTGGGATAAAATTCAAACCTTAGTTTGGCTCTCAGAGTCCTGCATGAACCAGGCCTGTCTCCTCTCTCACTATCAAATGCAGCTCTCCCTTGAGTTCTCAATGGTCTGGCGGGACCTCCTTCCAGCTTGGGAAATATTTCAAGCCTCTTCCAGTAGGATGAATGTGATAGCCCCTGCCAGCTCCGTGATAGAGCAGCCATGGGGCTGGGCTACAGAGCCTAATACTAGGCAAGTGACCAAAGTTCTCACCTTGTTCTCACCTTGGGCCTGGATGACCATTTCTCTGTTCCTCTTACCTCTCTTCCCGTGGCTTTCCTCCTCCCCAAATGGGCAAGGCTACATCCTGACTCCTGTCAAGGATCAGTCAGCTCTCTAGTTAAATGGCATGTCCTCAGAAGAGTCTCCATTGATGCATTCTCCACTAAAATCAGTCCTCTGCCATCATTCCCCACACAACTCTTGACATTCCCTTCATAGCACTTACAAAAATGGGTTGTTTTCCCCACCCCATTTGACTTCCCCACTTTTCTATCACCCATGGGAGTAAATATTATGTGCTTGCCACAAAAACCATAGGTCTGGAATAGAGCTGTACCCAGAAGGCACACTGAACATTTCAGTAAATGAAGAAATGAAAAGTCTTGAGGAATGTATGCATAGTCTGTCACCTGTGGTTTGCATTCATCTAAGGGACCTTGAAGTCACACGAGTTCCCTGCAGAGCATGCAAAAGTCATGCAGTAGATTTGCTAAAGTGCCCAGTGCAGCATCCTGGCCATCACTCAGAATAGGATTCATATTTCGGCAAATGAGGCCTAACTTTCAACAAATACAGGTTAAGGATAACCAGCATCAGTAGAATCTGCCAGAACACATGCAATGCTCTCCAGTAAAGATTATTAAACTTTGAGAATGGTCCAAAGCATATGAACACACATTGGAAATCTACTGAAAAGTCATAAGAACCTGCTTTGTGTGAGCTGCTGCCCCAGGCACTGAACACACCAAGACACATGTTCCTCCCTACCATCCCCCTGCTCAGACAGAAGCACAGAAAGAGCTTCTGAAGAACTCAGCATCTCAGAAGCTGAGAAAGCAGAACCTGTCAGGAAGGGAGCAGGGGATGGAGAGAAGAAGTGAAGAAGCATGGGAAAGACAGGAAATGACAAGAAGAAACCACTGGATGCTCAGTGGCCCGAGACATCTTCTGAGAGGAGGGAAGGAAGTGACATCACAGAATAGTTAGAGGTATAACTGAGGGAACTCAAGCCAGACCCCCAAACGCCAACCCTAGCCCCATCCACAACCTCTGTGACCCAGAATCAACAATTACTCATAGTTCCTTAGTCTTTATAGACTCAGGATGGCAACTCTACACACATCCTAGGATGGCAGAGAAGGCTATGGAGGTGACCCCCGTGAAACTCATGGACAGGCAGGTAGATGGTTAGTACAGTCACGCACGGCATTAGAACATTTCAGTCAACAGTGGACACAATGTACAACATTGGTCCCATTAGACTGATAGAACTGAAAAATTCTTGTTGCCTAGTGACATCATAATAACATCCTAGCACAAGGTATTACTCATATGTTTATGATGATGCTGGTATAAACACACACACTACACTTGCCAGTTATATAAAATTATGGCACTACAAATTTATACAATACAAAACCCTTGATCGTGATGATAAACAACTGTTACTAATATATGCACTTACCATAATACACTTTTTATCATTATTTGAGAGTGTACTCCTACTTACTTAAAAAAAAGTAAAACTTTCTTCCTGGTTACACTGATAGCCTCATGCATCTCATGTTTACCACATTTCTTGATTGCATTAAGATGTCACACGGAGTGCCTAACCTATGCCATCTAGGCTTATGTAAGTGCACTCCACAATGTTGGCACAATGATGAAATTCCCTAACCACTTATTTCTTAGAATGAGTCTCCATTGTCAGGTGGCCTATGACTAAGAAAATGTTGGCTGCTGATGTGTGAGTTGGACTGAGCATGCTAGTTATCAGAGAGAAAGGTGCTAGATCAAACAGGCTGCAGGTGCCAGGGAGCACCCTCATTCAGGACCCCAGAATGCAGACCAGAGGAGGAACTGGGGAGAGAAGGGAAGTGATCAGAGAAAGGGGAGGAGCCCACATTTCTGGGAGAACACAGGGGAGGGGAATGTTGATACAGGGATGCTATAAGGGACAGTAAAAGAGAAAACCATTTTTTCAGCTACACAGGCATTGCAGAGCAAAGGGGAAGAGAGATGAATTGGGCCTTTGGGATGACAGAGGAGCTTGGGAACTAAGGCTGAGACTGACAAAAGTATCTCCCAGAAGCATCTCAGAGTCTGATTCCAAAAGTGAGGTCATGACCTGGGCATGTTTGGTCCCTGCTGTCACTCACCTGCACAAACATCCTCTGACCTTGAACATCATTCTCATCCTTTTCCAGAGGAAAGATAAAGAAGAGGTACAGGCACTGGAGGAGGAGGGCTGGAAGCCCAGACTCGGCCACTCTGCCCAGCGTCTCCTGCAAGAGAAGACCACGTGTGACCCCAGATCCACAGCTCAGACCTGTTTCAGGCCTGCTGTATCTGTGGGGTCCATGGGAAAGTCACTTCTCTCTGGATGCTATGTCCTCAAATGTGAAATCATGGGCCCACCTAAGTAGCTGTGAAGGTGAAGTTTATATAGCACTTACTATGTGTTCAATAAATGTTAACCTTTTTACAAGATGTGGAGGAAGGGAGGAAAGAGATAGGGTCGGGGGAGGGACTTAAAATTAGAAACAATGGCTTTCTAGCCACACATAACTGCTGGTTGTGGGCAATAGCCTCCTGGTCAGGAAGGAGGAGAAGTTGATAGCAAGTACACACACACCAGCAGTAAGGACCTGAGCAGGCCTTCCCACCCCTCACCCAGATCCCAGACTCCACCAAGACCTAAAGTAGCACAATAGATGACTGACAACCAGACAACCACAGCACCAGGAAGCAGCCCAGGCAGCCGCATAGAAGCCAGGAGGACAGGAGATTAGCCAAGATGGAAACCAACCTGATGGAGTTTCCTGGGGCCTTTCTTCCTTGGGCTCTGCCTGCAGCTCCCCTCAGGGAGTATGTGTAAGCACATGTGAACACATGGGGCAACCTATAGGATGCTGTCTGCAAATGTCCAATTTAGTGGACTAACTTGACCAATACAGTGGGTGAGTTACAAAAAGAGAAGGAAGGGTATACAGTCTAGGCAGAATCTGAAATCTGATGCAGGCTGCTGAGCCTAATCTCCCCCTTCAAAGTTTCCAGTGCCAAGTAATGTCTTCCCTTATCTCCTTGTGACACTTGGTTGGCTCTGCCCCCTGGGGTGGCTGTCTCTGGTCTCTCCAGGCTGCACAGGCTGACAGCCAGCTCGTACTTCTCTTATTGCTTTGGACCAACTGCTCGGGATCAACAGCTCATGGTGGACAGCCAGCCCTTTGGTGACTCTATCACCACTCGTCTACAGAGGCCTTCCCCAGGGGCAAAAAAAAACAAAACAAAACAAAACAAAACAAAAAAAACCCCTTCTCTGGGTTTCAGGCCACTGTACCTAAAGGTGATATGAGAAGTTTATACTAGCCAGGCATGACGGGGCATGCCTAAAATCCCAGCAGCTCTGGAGACTGAGGCAGAGGATCGTGAGTTCAAAGCCAGTCTTGGCAAAGGCAAGGTACTAAGCAACTCAGTGAGACCCTGTCTCTAAACAAAATACAAAATAGGGTTGGGGATGTGGCTCAGTGGTTGAGTGTCCCTGGGTTCAATCTCCAGTACCCACCCCCCAAAAATATTTATACTGAGGAACAAAGTCCTCCCCTCTAGTTAGCCTCAGAGATCAGGCTCTAGCCCCCATCCCAGTGACTGCACACAGGGTTGTCACCTGTATATTTAGATCCAAATGCCACCCAGTGACTGTGTCCCCCTTGCATTGAGGGCAGCAGCCACCCCATCTCATTCCATAATTTTCCCAGCATAAGACATCCACTCCCACTACAGGCCCATGCAGGCCCTCTGACCATTTCTGATAATGGTCATAGCTACCAGGGACAGTTTTCACTAAAGAGGTCAATAGCCATCCTCAAGTCACTCAGGGAAGACACGAGTCCGAATCCCACAGTGGGAAGACATGAGCACAGCCAAGATCCACTCAGGGAAGAAGTTCCAGGATCCGAATCCCACAGTGGGAACACACGAGCCAAGTTAGGTTAGGGCACACACAGCCCAGGTGCCTACAGGTGTATCATGTTTTGGCTGGGTTTATCAGGAAGCAATCAAGAATCATGGCTCAGAGCAGGGACTCTGGGGTCAGGTAGATTGAAGGTACACACAGGTAAGCCTTTTTCTCACAGCTACCCTAGTATCCCCATAATCTGACTCAAGCCTTTTTCTCACAGCTACCCTAGTATCCCCATAATCTGACTCAAGCC